ATTCACTTTTGGAAATCATTAGAGTTTCCTAAATGAAAACCACATTCACTGTAAACATTTTGTGCATTCAAGAATCTTCCTTTTTTTTGGTGCTACGGCCAAAAGCAATCATCTGATTAACTGCTAAAAAAAAATCAAACAAGCTTTCCAAAAATGAAATTCTTGTGGTGTATGGCCAGCTTTAAGCAATTTTTTTTTAAAATACGCATTTGAAAATATTGGCAAATTTCTAGATGTAATACAGTTGAGATGATAAAACAACTGTATACCAACAAGTAATTAACTTTGTTGTCAAATTGTAATGATGCAAGCTACAATAACTGCACTTTTTCAATTTAGAGAAAATGTTGATTCAAGAATAAAGAGAACAAGTTTACATGTTTAGGTATTTTATTAAAAGTGTTTTTTAAATTAATAACAACAACAACATAACAGGTGACATACACAAATCATTATTTTTTTGCACAGGTTAAGCTCTTTCTGTGTTGAGTAATGACTCAATGTAAAAGAAAACAATATAATACAGCATAGAGCAATTTATATATATAAACTAACAATCTGACCAAAATTCCTTATTTTTACTAATGAGTATAAGTAAAGTATAAGTAAATCCTGTGCAAATTGCATATGATAGTATGCATAAATATTAGAATAACTTATACTGAATGTGACACTAAACTCAGGAGGTAAATCTTAAAAATGTATTCAAGTACCCTATTAACAAAAATGTATTTTATGTGTGAATCACTCAGCTGTTTATCCTTAAATCATCTCTGAATTGGTGCTAATTGGTCCTTCTGGAGGGTGGCTACTTTTCTTCCTCATGGTCCCTGTGTGTTTTAAAGTAGCCACCGGTCCAAGCTCACCCCTGTGATGGACAACAATCTCACATTTAGTTTACTAAATTGTATTGAGATTGTAGTCAATGAAGGGAGTCAACTAGGAGTGGTTGCTACTTTAAAACACACACAGGGACCATGGGGAACAAAAGTAGCCACCCTCCAGAAGGAAGTAGTGTCAGCACCAATTCAGAGATGATTGGAGGATCTACAGCTGAGCGATACACAAATTAGGTAATTTGTTTTGTTGATAGGGTACTTGAATGCATTTTTAAGATTTAACTCCTGAGTTAAGTGTCACTTTAAGGAACAATCTAAAGTTTGGTGATCTAGTTAGGTTCTTTTTGCAGATTTGGGTCATCACTTACTGTGATGATGAAATCGGATTCTCCTGGATGTTTGGCACCTATTCCAAATCTTTATATCACATGATGGGCAAAAAAACTGTTCTTCAAGAAGTATATGCAGCTGTCACACAACCATATCTTCCATTTAGCCTAACTTATATCTGTTAACCTCAAAAGTCAGGGATGTCCATATCAATGCGCAATCATTAAATTAGATTTAGAACTGCCTAGTCTCACCTGTAATAATTACTTGTCTATTCATTGCACTGCCCCTGGGAGACCAAAAAAACCCCAGTCAGAGAGATTTTTCTCTGTCTACTATTTCGTACTATTTATAACAGTTAAGAAGCAGCAGAAAATAGTGCTTTGGGGTCAACTCTCAAATAACTCAACATTTTTGGCATTTACAATTTATGCTATGCATTGTTACCAATACTAACAGGGTTATTCACAAAAGGGTGAAGAGTTTGGAGAAGGCAGGAGAAGTGAACAATCTAGGACAACATAGCTGAACTGGAAAGTGAGCTAAATTGGAGAATTTTTCCACATCCGCTATTTTGGCCTCGATTGTTCACTTCTCCTCCCTTCTCCACACTCTTCACCCTTTTGTGAATAGCCATGTCAGTGCTCTGCCGGAACAATAAACATACACAATGTTTACAAAAATATTTAACTATAGCACTGATGTTGCTTTTTCAAATATTAAAACTAAATATGATATTTACACTTATTACACTGAAAACATCTAAAAGCA